ATCACCACCGTGCACCTCCTGGCTATCACTGAAAAATTTAAAGTAACTTTAACCAGAGTAGACAAGAAGATTTGAGACTTCAAAGACGCTGAATCCCTAAAGTTGCTGGGAAAGAAGTCCAGATTAGCTCCACCATGGAAATAGCCCTGTGCTTCCCGACCTTGCCAACGTGCTGCTGCCTGGTACAGCAGCCAGCAGGGACACAGCTCAGGCAGGGCAGGGGGTGCTGCTCCCCAGCTGGCAGCCACAGGCTAACAGGCAGCCAGAGGTGCTGGGTAGCATGGGGCACAATTCCCCAGCAGGATTCATTACTGCTGTTGTTCCACGAAGGAACAACCCGCCTTGGTGGCAGGAGACGGAGGTTAAGTCGCATGGTTAACATTCAGAAGATCAATTCAGAGTTCTTCAAAATGTGTGATCAAGACATACGTTCCTGTCGTGGCCATCTATCACACACAAGACCAGTGTCTCAGCTGTTCTTTGAGGGGACAGCCCCATCCCCACACACAGATACATTCAGTCCTACTCAGCCAGGTGCCCTGAGCCCACACTGCACAACTACAGTTGCAATAAATGTACATTAGGAGATCTCCCCTCCTCCCCACCCCTTCCCAAAATAAATTCTCCAATTAAGAACCCTCACATGAGTAAGGAGGTCAGCAGCTCTTCTGGAGAGCTAGTATCAATACTGGCAACTGCTTGGTGATGATACTACTAGAGAGCCAGACTCTGGTTCTGCAGATTAAATACGCTCAGTCAAACCCCCAGACAACTTACGCTTTGAGAAAGCATCTAAAAAAACAAAGGAGTTGAATCATGACTTCATTTAGAAGTAGTCATCTCAGCACCTATTATTTATTTCAGTAGACCATGTCTGAAAATGGTCTGTCTTCTGGTTAAAAGCCTGAAACAAAGCCTTGCTACCTTCAAGGAAAAAAAAATAAAAAATAAAAAATAAATAACAACAATAATAAAAAAAATCATCACTGGACTGGTGAATATAAATTCCTTCTTAAAGACAGGATTACAGAAAAATTTCCATCCTAAAGGTGTCCTAGAAGCTCTGGAGAGCAATCAGGTAAATTTATTTCTTGCAAGTACCGCATGCAGACTCACACAGATCAGAAAGCAGACTCATGACAATAAAATGATCACAAAGATGGACCTTAAAGCTAAATCAAACCTTCTCCAAACCCCTAGAACTTAACTGTGTGGAAGTTAGCACCCAACTCTACTATAAGGATTTAACTGTGGTGGCCACCAAAACCAAAAAGATCTCAAAGAATCAAAATACAAACCAGGATAACAAAAACCAGCTGATCTCCTTGCTGAAGTTAAGCTCACCTGCCTTGGGTCAGGTACTACCAAGAACCACTGTGTGGCCTGCAAGTCCTGCAGCAGCCTAGCTGAACATCTACAAACAGGCATGTCCTTATGTGCTCCTGGACAAACACCAGTTACTTTGGCACTCGACAAAAGCAGCCACGCAGGGTGACAATTCCGACTGAGTTCAAAACTGTCCCCGACACCAGGGCGATTCTGTAATATCCCCTCCTTTAAGCAACATATGCATATAATATGAATATATTTGCAGGTTAAAACCTCTCCTTCCTTGAGCAATCTGGAGCTCATCCTTGAGAGTCTTGTGCCCTATATGCAGAAGCAGGTGAGATATGCACTAAATTCCAGGAGCCCTGACTGTAGACGGCATAGAGAATATGGTCATGATGAATATCTAAAAGCTGCTGATTTAGAGAATCCTGAAAAGGCAATTTGGTTCAAATACACTAACAGAGCAGCTGCTGTTACGGGGCCAAGGCTAGCAACTCCAAACAAGAACCCTGCAAGGAAACAGTTGGCAGTAACTGTGCTTCTTAACTGGGGAAAAAAATCAAAACAAAAAAATGAAGCATGTACACCCACAAGCTAAGTCAAATCTGTGTCACAGAAAACTATAATTGTATATGTTTAGCATTACGCAAGGTGATTCAGACAAAAATCAGAGTTCAGAAGTGTACTCAATCCTATATGCCTGTCACCATCTAACACAAGAGGAACATCACCCAATGCTGTTAAGGCTTAACAGAATTTCAGTTCTTTCAGCGTATGGTCAAGCCAAGGCCTGACTGGCCACGTGGAGTTTCACTGAAAACTCTTAATTTTTATCCCACTTCAGCTAAGGAACTTAAAAAGCAATGTTTAATTGCTATCATTCTCTACAAGACAAAGTTTTACTCAACTCTATTACTGACATGTAACTAGCTATAATGTGTTGATGACAACATTCAAGATAAATCTGATCTAGCACACAGTAGAAATAACAGACCTCTGCTAGGGACTGCATTGTGTTAAGCCTGGTGTACTCTTTTTCCAGCATATCCAGCTTTTCCAATTTGGATTGGACATGTGATTGGTCAAGGCGATCTCTTTCTAAGGTACCCTTGAAAAAAGAAAACAGCAAAAAAATAAGGACAATAAAAGACACCTACAGTAAGTTTTATGTCTGCAACACAAAGAGGGAGCATATAGATATATACTTTTTTAAAGAAGTATTTCAGCCCTGGTTTAGCAAAAATACTCATAAAGAAAATCCCCAAAGATCTGGGGAGTGCAAACAAAAGAGTTTTCTTTCAGTGCCACACGGGTACAGCACCTCGAGATAGAGATGAGCCACTGCAGGGAGCCAAACACAAACAGCCAGTAATTCTTGTAACTGCAGAGCCTACAATACTGTCTTAGACACAGGTGCACAGAAGGAGGAAAAACACCAACATGCAGGTATGAGATTATCTACATGCAAGTATATAAAGGCCAGGTCAATAATGGACAGCTACACTTATTACGGGAACTACAAAAAAATCATAATGTAGTTCATGACTGTTATAAACTTAAGCTCTAAACAGTCCTGAGAACACACCTGTTTCTCCAAGAGATGAGTCTTCTCATTTTCTGCATGCTGGATCATTTTTCTCATGTAGTCCAGCTGCTTCTCTAAAAGGCTGCAACGAGACTCAGCAGCTGCCAGCTGGGAAGCCAGTTCTGAAGATAACAGAAGGCAGAAAGGAAAAAAATCAGGCACTGCTCGTTCCTGGGATTTCTCAGTGTTTTTAGTACAGCTCCAAAATAAGCCATAAAAAAGCTATCTAAAGAAGCTCATAAACATAAAACAAATTTTGCTTACATGCAAATCCCTAAAAGAAATTATGTTTTTTAAAATGATTTCTTCAAACTTTGTGTGTCACTAAATGGAAAGAAGTGCTAAACAAAGTAATTTACAATTACGCAATTTTATGCACAGATGAAGCACATGTTCCATCTGGAGAAGCGTTCTATGGTATTTACATAAAGTTTACAAACAACCTTGATTTTTCTTTGACACTTCAGTCTTGTCATGGTCTTTGTGTTGCATTTGTTCAGTTAGCACTTTTTTATAGTCTGCTGTTTCTCTGCTGAGGTGCTTCACATTCTCCTCTGCCTGAAGCCGTTCCAACTCCAGCCGACGAATTTTTTCCTGGAGATTCTTCAGAGCAGAAAATATTGCTGTAATTGAACAAGTATATTTTGTTAGTCAGTGACAAGTGACCATTTCAAGAAAACATTATACTGAAAGCCTTTATAACAAGTAGGCTATACCAGGTAACCAGAGTTTTCCTCATCACTATCCAGAGCTCCTCAGGGGAATTAAAATACACTTCACCCTATACTGCAACTGATTCTAAAAATCATTTCAGCTGTATTGATGCCTTTGGAATAAATGCATCCATAGCTCAACATAATACAGGTAAATATTCTGTAGATGAAGTGCAAAGAGTGCATCTTCTCACTTGCATTATGGTAAGGAAACAAAAGGTCTCAACTGAAGAGCTGCAAGTTACAGTCCTCTATTTGCTCAACAGAAGGTTATTTTCCCTCTCCAAGTGCACGCCAGTATGACAAACAACATTCCTAGGAATGAGCAAGAAACAGGGCAAGATTATCAGGTAATTATTAATCTAAGCAGCTGCTCTTTTTTGATTCTCCTCTTGTTTTCACACCTGTGCTCCTTCCCCTCCTCTTAGACATGCAGCTCCTTTGTGCCAAGCAACTTTCCCTCCCATTCAATTCCTGCTCTAGCAATTACCCAGTAAAACCACCATAGAAAAGGTAGCTGTAATAGCTATCATCTTGCAATTAGACTATCTGCTGGTAATCCGGGATATTACATCTCATAGCTGCATTGTTTGATTCTCCAAAGGAAATCAGAACCATAAGCTTCTTCCCTACCCTACACAGTCCCTGTAAAGGGAAACACAAGAACATCTGTACTGAAGCTCATATAGGAGACTTATCTTTGAGGTCTTGTTACCTTTCTGCTTAAAATCACTCTAGAGAAGGAAAGTGCCTTTATAATAGAATACATAAAGCCAAGAAAGCTAGGGCTTGATACCTGTTCAGGCCTCAGATCACAAATAAAGAGAAAATAGCTCCTTTCAATCAAAATGAGTTTTACAGAGTAAAAATTCGTAGACTCAAAATCACAGGACCATAGAATATGATTGGAAAAAACCTTCGAAGTGTGGAAGAACAAACCACTATTATTATTATCATACTAATTAAAGCATACACTAAGGTAACTAGAAATTTGCCCAAAACCTAAGGTAACTGGTAAATCTACACTAAGGCAACTGGAAGTGTGTGACAGTAGTCACAGGCTACAACAAAATTGTGGATAGTCAGTCCTTGTTTCCATCATGCCAAAAGAAGCAAGTGCAGCACCTTCTCTTTATTTATATTATTTTTATCAGGATTCAGTTGACACGGGTACAATATAAACAGCTCTGTTGCATAAGTCATAGGGCTAAATTAAAATCTCTATTTACAATAATGACTAACAAATTACAGAAATGAAGCAATTTCTGTAGCAACAAGCAGAAGATGGAACTCAACAGGAAGCCAAGTATTATTCAGGACATAGAAACAAACGGGAAATAACAGATACTTTACACTAGTTAATTCTTATTAGAGTGTTAAAAGCATGTATGCCGAGACACCCACAAGCAATACAGAAAGATAAATCAAAATAAAGAGAATTTGCTGTATTTGAAAACCCTGAAATTGAATATGATTTTCCATAGGGGAGCGGGGAAGAAAGGCCTCTAATAACAATCAAATCTATGATTATATCTGAAGTTAATTCTCAAATCCTTACCTTTATTAAAATATATACTCTGAAAAAGTATTTTTGCACTCTTAAAACCTAGGCAAAAAAAGCAAGATGCCCTATAAACTGTTGCATCTTATTTTTAGCATGTATTTATATTTACCTTTTTTATTAAATAGAGAAGACATCTTAAAATCCATAAAAATAATATAATTTACCAGGTATTCCTCTACAAATACTTCTCTTGCAGTTAGTAAATTCTCTGCTCAAAAAAATTATCAAAGTTGGTTGTCAGAAGTTTCTCTATTGAATCCTACAACATAACCTGCAAAAATACACCTGCATCAAACTCATAAGCCTTCCTTCCTGCTCAGCTAATGCTCATACACAGAATCACAGGATGGTTGAGGTTGGAAGGGACCTCTAGAGATCATCTAGGCCAGCTCCCCTGCTCCAGCAGGGACACCCAGAGCACAGGGTGGCATCCAGGCGGGTTTGGAAGATCTCCAGAGAAGGAGACTCCACAGCCTCTCTGGGCAGCCTGTTCCAGGGCTCTGTCACCCTCACAGCAAAGTTGTTCTTCCTCATATGGAGGTGGAACTTTCTGTGTTTCAACTTACACCTATTACCCCTCGTCCTGTCACCGGCCACCTCTGAGAAGACCCTGGCACCATCCTCCCTACAATCACCCCTCAGGTACTTGAACATGTTAATCAAATCTCCTCTCGGCCTTCTAAACAGGCCCAGCTCGCTTAGTCTTTCCTCGTATGACAAATGCTCCAGTCCCTTAATCATCTTTGTTGCTCTCCGCTGGACCCTCTCTAGAAGCTCCACATCCCTCTTGTCCTGGGGAGCCCAGAACTGCACCCAATACTCCAGGTGCGGCCTCACCAGAGCCGAGCAGAGGGGCAGGATCCCCTCCCTTGACCTGCTGGCAACTCTCCTCCTGTTGCAGGCCTTATCTGTGCCACAAGATTCTTTTACCTCTGTGTCAACGGCTCTCAGAACTGACCATTTTGTGCGTGCCAGAGCACACACTGCACCTTAAATGACATTTCAAGATTTCAGGCTTCATCTACTAGATGATTAACATGCAAATCTCTCACAACTCAGGAATGAATTACATTAGGACACTTGAACTTATCAAGCTGATTTTCTGCTTAATTGGAATTACATTAGGGTTCAGCTTAAGACTCATTTCTCCCCCAATAAGGAAGAAAACAGGAAGTTTTCCATAGCCTTAAGCTCCCATACAACTCCAGCCATAAGGAAATATTTTCACACTGACCCTGAGCCCAAGAGCTCACATGACAGAAATCAGTCCTGTTCTAGTCCCCCTAATACCCTTCACTCCCTCCTGTACTTTGGAGGATGTCTCATTGCATGAAAAGTCAACTCACTAGAACAAGAGGAAATAAGAATATTTTTGCACGTGTCTCCAGGCAAGATGGATCTACTCACCTGGAGATCATGACTAGGTGTAGAATAGGAAAGGAGGGAGAAAGAAGAGACTACAAATAGGGACAAGAAAATTGGAGTAGAGTCTCCTATCTGTTTTTTGTGATAATGAATAGACGGTT